TTTGGTCAGCAATGTCATTGAGGATATCGGAAAACAATTGTATAGGATCTTCGCTGTTCGCAAATACCTCATGTTTTAAGTGTCCAACACACAGAGCCTCATATAATGACCAATCAGCCCTGGCGAAGTTCCTTCTTAATGAGGTGGATCATCTCCAGGGCTAATTGTTTTGAGAATGGTGGGAAGTGATCGCTCCCCACATAGGTCATCATGGACCACCCATTCAAATTCATTATATACTTAAGAATCGGCAAGTGACAGATCCAGGGAAGAATATGTTCCCGTAGTTGGATGTAAATAAGTGGCTGAATCGTCATTGAAAATACATAAATTATTATCGGAAATGAATTCCTCAATGAGTTTACCTTTGTTATTAGTATGTGCACTTCCCCAAAGTGGGTTGTTTCCGTTCAGATCGCCCATGATGAGACATGGCTTCGGAAGTTGATCATATAGATTTTGAAGATCTGATTGTTGAATACTAGAAGAAGGAGGTATATACAAGATGCGCAATGTGCAGGGTCAGACGAACAGCAACAGTTTGAAGATCCGTATTTAGAGTGACAGGGCTATGAATGACGCTCTGATGTACCAAAATAGAAGCGCCCCCAGTAGCTTTATCGCCTGGAGGAGAAAAAGAATGATTTAAAGTTATCAGTATTTTTAAGATATGTCTCTTGGAGACACAACGCTGACGGTTGAAGATCTTGTAAGAGTAAGTGTATTTCATTGAAGTTATTCTTCAGTCCTCTGCAATTCCATTGAATTAGATTGGTTAATTGATTCATGCTGGCTTAATTGGAGGAGTCCACGTGAGTGTGAGGAGGAACTATTCCTCCGTTTTCATGTGATGACACAGTAAGCTCCATGTCTAAAGGTGCAAATGTGTTCTGCGTTAAGAACCTCAGGAATGAAGGGACAGTAGGTGTTTGTCTCTATATAATCTCTTTCCTTTTTTCTGTTTTGAATTTTCACTGACTGGTTTAGAAACAGACGTCTCAGATTGTTGCTCATGGTGATTTTTCTGTTTGAGAAGCCGACGTAGATTGTGTTACTTTCGGAATAATCTGAAGGGCTGAAGGTGAAGTAATAGATTTATTTGACGTTACCCATGTCATGTCGGTCTGACATGTGAAACGGAGGACGTTGCTACAGAGCAGTGACTGCAACAGAGTAGGTCAGGTTTGATGGAGTCTGAGTTGATGGTGTCAACATTTGTTTTGCTCAAAGGTAGGAAATATTATTTGGCATTTGATTTTCAATATTTGTGATTCCCGTTGATAAACGGGACAGGAGCTGGATGAAGCAGAATGAGCACCATTACAGTTTGCGCACTTATACTCTTTCTCACAGTCCGGAACCCTCATGTCGATCACCACAACGATGGCATACTGTAGAGGGGTTTCGACAGGATTGCGAGCCATGCCCGAAATGTTGACATTTATAACAACGGGTGGATTGGGGACATACATCTACTCCGATGTTGAACTTCTTCTGCTTTTATAGACTTTGGAAGAGAGGACGGTCAAAAGTCAATAGGTACGTGTTGGTTTTCAAGATGATTCCCTCTTTCTTAATCGTGAAACGTTTCACAGAAGATACACCTTCATCTGCCAACTCTGAAGCAATGTCCTCCTCTAACATATCAGCGAGACAACGTGCTCTGTCCCGTATGATGCCACGAAAGGTTTAGCGTCCTGTGCACAGACACAGCAACCTCTGTATTTGCAAATGTCTTGATCGACAACAGATTTGAGATTGCTGTCTCCGTGCACACACTCAACAGAAGCGAGCCACTGCGAAGTTGGGTGCCGTTGGTAACTTCTCCACAAATTCCTCAGATGGCCTTTGAAATTGCAAAGGGATTAAGTTTAAGTGGAAGAAAAGTCTGAAGCCTCAATAACAACAAATCTAGCCCATGTGTCAAGGCTAGAAGACATATGTCAGTAGAGATTTAAATCCTCTAAACGTCTCTTTTTTTCGTTTCTAGATGAACCAGAAGGTAGAAGTGCCATGATGAAAGGGAAATATTCAGCACCCCTGCTCCCCACCCACCACGGATCGTCAACAAAGACAGTGTCAAATAGCACCGGATATCCAAGATGCCGACACCAGGGATACAGGGGTGTTATACTCTAGAAAAACGACACAAATAGCTGCATTTGTCTGCCAATTTCATGCCCGACTGGTTCGGCCCAAGACATGAAATTAAGAGACATACACAGTCATATCACCAGACTGGCCCATGAGCCACCGCCTTCTGGCATAGGACTCTAGGCAAGCATATATAATATAATTTGAAATACAAACATTCAGTGTCAAAAATGTACAAAAACGTACAGCAATTGTAGAAGAATGTTGTCCATGCACAGGGCATGGCGTGACCAGCCGATTGATAGAACCGGGCCAGTTCTACCACCCGTCTAGGTGAAATAAGGGCCAAAGTGGTGTGTTGGGCAAACGAAACACGGTTCAAGGCTCCCAGTGCCCTCAACCACCAGAATCCCGTCCTCCACCTACACAGGGGCGCAACCCACGGCAAACGGGTTGGTGGACCAAATATACCCCCTGGTCCACAAGGGGGGGTTGAAGACGGTTAGCGTTACCAAGCACCCACCACGAGGAGGTGGCTCTTCACGGGTGCTTCTTAGCGTTGAAGTGATGGAAATGTAATAAGAATCTATAAGTACGTTTACAAAATCTGAAATTTGTTTGGCCACCGTTTGTGTGCATATTCCCGATCAGATTCGCTTGTACGTCATCCGATCACTATAGTCTGTAACAGCATAATGTAACACTATAACCACATTATAACTACACTGTAACAGCACGTTGTAACGACACAGTGTAGCGAAACACTATAAACCACATTGTAACCACACACTGTAACGACACATTGTAACCACACACTATAACGACACATTGTAACTATACATTATAACAACACATTGTAAACACACACTATAACGACACAGTGTAACCACACACTGTAGCGACACATTGTAACTATACACTATAACAACACATTGTAACCACACACTGTAGCGACACATTGTAACTATACACTATAACAACACATTGTAAACACACACTATAACGACACAGTGTAACCACACACTGTGGCGACACATTGTAACCACACACTATAACGACACATTGTAACCACACACAAATAAAAACACATTTATAACCACACACTGAAACGACATATTGTAACCACAGATTGTAACGACACATTGTAACAACACAGCAACAACACATTGTAACCACACACTGTATCGACACATTGCAACCACACACTGTAACGACACATTGTAACCACACACTGTAACGACACATTGTAGCCACACACTGTAACAACGCATGGTAACCACACACTGTAACAACGCATTGTAACCACACACAATGTAACGACACATTGTAACCACAGACTGTAACGACACATTGTAACCACACACACTGTAACGACACAATGTAGCCACACACTGTAACAATGCATTGTAACCACACACTGTAACAACGCGTTGTAACCACACACACTGTAACAACACATTGTAACCACACACACTGTAACAACACATTGTAACCACACGCTGTAACGAGACATAAAGTAACCACACACACTGTGACACTACATTGTAACCACACTGCTGTAACACATTGTAACCACACACTGTAACACTACATTGTAACCACAGACTGTAACAACACATTGTAACCACACACTGTAACAACACATTGTAACCACACACTGTAACAACACATTGTAGCCACACGTCGTAGCAACACATTGTAACCACACACACTGTAACAACACATTGTAACCACACATCGTAACAATACACTATTTGAACGAAACACTTTGACATTATGTTACAAGCCACACACTTAAAGTCTGTCATCACTTCACCAAACGTCACTCATACCAGCTGTTTTGACAGTTATTTGTTCACATTGTGTTTGTTCATCTCAGTATATGCAGTTCTTAGTTAAGGTAACCATATCATATAGACTAGTTGTTCACTTGTTGTTAAAGGTACCAGCATGTGTATCGAAACGGGTCGGCATTGACTTCGTGCCTAAATCAATATTTGTTGTACATTTGAATTAACTTCAGTATAAAGGCCACCTGGTCGATAATTTGAGAAAAGAACCTGAGCGTCTGCCTGGTCCCACGTTGAGGTTTCTCATGCATGTGATTGCTGTTGGTAAATGCAAGAGCATTGATTCCTTGCACTTTGTAATGCATAAATAACAAAGGAGCAAATGTGTTTCCAATTATCTTAATCAACGACAAATATATCAATGTTAATAGTCTAATGCTTTTATCGATAAAGGGATGAGATATAATCACTTATAGAATATAGATATCAAAAACAGTTAATTAAACAAAATTAAGGTGATAACCCACCAGCGTGTGATTCTTTTATTGTTCTTCCGAAGTTTTGGTTTGCAAATACCAATTACGTAGGTTTTGCGTGAAAGCAAATAAAGATTCAGATGAAGAGAGATGGGAGACATCATTTGACAGTGACGTCAAAAGCGTCTGCAAAATATCCGAAGTAAACATGTGTGGGGAGGTAACGAAATGTTTAACATGTGATGCATGTGGCTTAAACACTAACTAGTGTTTTCTGTCAACGTGGAACTAGTTGATTGGTAAACATGGTTAATGATTTACCCAAAGAAGAAATTGACAGAAGAAAGGTAAATACTGGACGACAATAGTACTGAAAAACCGACCGTTGATAATGAGGCATCAAGGCCTTAACAGTTTTTAGGGAGCTTCCTTAATCTACAGGTTGAACAATACATTTCCAGTTCATGGGAAGTGTATTTCATTGTGATTGAATCAATTCGAAGTGTTTGAACAAAGTGCTCTGTGTTTGCATTAAATTTAGAAACGCTTTGGAGACATCACACTTTTGTTGTGAATGAACCTGAATAATATCGTACACATCTAATTACATTGGCAGCAGATGTCAATACATATCACAGTAGGTGCTGCGTCCCACCGAAGCAAGATGGAGGTTCTGCTGTGTCTGGTCATTGCATTCATCCCAGTCGTGTATGCAGGAAATTGCAGTTACTGGCAACGTTTTGACAGACAGGTGACACTAGACAGTGTAAAGGCAAGGGAATTTCCCTGGAGGACACAGGCGCTTCTTCATCAAGAGACCTGTATTGGTCTCTGTACCCAGGACGAACTCTGTACAGCTCTCACCTACCTTAATGGCACGTGCAGCATGTACAGATCTTCTCTCACGTCCTCTGGGGAATCTGTTCCTGGATCCAAGCACTTCATCAAGGCAGGAGGTAAGCTCATCATATTTGAAATATATACACTGAACACTCTCTAGGCCATTACTGACATAACTCCCTGGTGGAACTAAGGTACGAATGTGTAATTACTGGCAATCGTCCCCTGGAAACCATGGCTTCAAAACGGCCAGAGATAAAGTTTTGTGTGTTTTCAATACTGCGTAATAATGCTAAGACCAGTGCTGCCCGCTTACGAAATGGATATCATCATAAAATGATTACAAATAAATAAGAAAGAGAAATATTTCGATAATCTGATTAATAATGACAGGTACATTGTTTGGATCTTAAATCGCTTTTAATCAAGAATGCAAAGGATTCACTAAAATAGGTTCTCATCGTGTGGTCACTTTATTGTTATCGTTATTATTATCAATGGTATTTAGTAGTGAAATACGTTGTACACCAGATATTGTCACAAACGTGGGATTATTGGTTTGAAACCCGATTTCATCGTATTATATGGGCTTAATGGCACCGTGAATATATATTTTTCACTTTTTGCATGCACCCATTCTCGAGACTTAGCAAACATCTGAAGTGTTCTTTTAAAAATATTATGTGAATAAAAACAAACAATCACGATATGGAAACGAACCTATTCACTTCAGCGCTTCCTGATCCAGACCCATGTCCTGTATCTATGGGGTACACGTCCGTCGTGTCTCCCCGGTTGTGTTACAAGATAACTCCAAACGGCAGCTCCTCGTCCAGCCTGAGTTCTCTGTGTCAAAGTGAAGGCGGCCGGCTGGTCGTCCTCAACAGTCAGGAGAAGCAGGAGTTCATGGCTTCACTCCAGAGGCACGGTCAGTGTATACTGTTTTTTTAATCGCCGTGTGAAACCTTAGAGAAAAGGGAAGTACCAAAAGGGAAACCACTCACAAATGCATCAACCTTATGCCAGTAAGGGACGTACATATTACATGGTAGACACACAAGTCATTGGTCTACACTCCCAAATGTATTTTACATACTTGATTCGTCAATACTCCTCCAATAATATTTGCTCAATGGGGTTTGTATCCTTGCAGATGATGTACCAGGAACTCTCTGGGTTGGAATGCAGAGACTTGAAAACAACGTGTTTACCTGGCAGGATGGGTCCACTTATGTCTGGATGTGGGGCTCAAACCAGCCAAATGACATTGCAGATCAGATCTGTGTTGTATCGTTTAATGGTGAATTTTCAAACAGAAATTGCAACCAGAAGAATAAAGCTGTCTGTGAGATACCTATGTAAATTCTCAGACTCCAGTACAAACAATCATTTTTAGATTTTGAGAATCCATAGTGATGCTGAGGTATATTTCTTGTGATGAATACATTCGTATGACTTTAAAAGTGTTATATTATATATTCTGATTATTTAGTTAACACGGAATTTGTGTTCATTTTGAAGTGCTGGATAAAATGGTTTCATTATAACTAGTAAAATATTTCAGTGCATGGGCGTGGTCTTTTTCACGAATAGGAAGTGAGTGAGTGAGTTTAGTTTTACGCCGCACTCAGCAATATTCCAGCTATATGGCGGCGGTCTGTAAATAATCGAGTCTGGACCAGACAATCCAGTGTTCAACAGCATGAGCATCGATCTGCGCAATTGGGAACCGATGACATATGTCAACCAAGTCAGCGAGCCTGACCACCTGATCCCGTTAGTCGCCTCTTACGACAAGCATAGTCGCCTAGCAAGACTTATTCTACCCCGGAACCTTTTTCACGAATACAAATTGGTGTACGAACATATTTTTCCATAACAATCATGTGTTTGTGTTGGTGGATTTCCCTTGGGAGAATATGAATCTGTTATCATAAACCAAAAGGGGCATTTTCACGATCGCCAACGTGTCCCACATAGGATTGTGACCGAGCTTAACATTGAAACACGGGCACAACAAAGTTTAGGCAAACCCATATATTCTTAAATCGATGATGTGATGAAGGGGTGTTTTACGCCACATTCTATGGCACTCCTGCTGTTTCAGGAAGATACATAAATAATCGACTTTGAACTGTTCATGGGGGTAATATTATGTAACAGAAGCAAACAAATTAACGTTAATTCAAGGTCCTTTCCATCTTTGAAACACAGAAGTGAATAGTAACGGCAATCACGTCGATATTTCAACGTTATTGTTTACACGTTTAGTTATCCAAATAGTCAGTAATTGGCAAGTTACACGCTTTTCTCGATACATACGAGTCACACTTCATTTCATGTTTGTCATTGGCACTGTTGCCAGATCTAACAAACAGCTGTTAGAGCCTTGTTTAGTACCATACGTATGTTTAGAGAAGTGCTTCTAAGAGTGAGGGTGAATACACATTAGGTCCACAGACACTTACATGTAATTTATCTTTTGGTTTAATAAAGGTAAAAATGTTATTGTTGCTTTGTTGATATTGTATACATTTGCTGGAATATTTTTATGCTTCCTCTTGTCATTTCAAATACAGTTTACATCGCATCTCATAAGGTTAGGTGTAAGTTATGAACAGACATTCTCTGAAACAAGGCATTACGCATCACCGAATATTCAACAATGACTTTAAGAAGGCACATCGTGTAAATGCTTTTGTGGGAATGGCTTCTTATATGAAACGCAGTGAACACTATAAAAGTGTGTGAGTATGGCTTTACGCTACTTTAGAAATATTCCAGCAATACCATGGCTTGGTACTCCAGAATGGGCTTCACATGTTCCATGTGCGGAATCGGGTCTTCGGCGTGACGAGCAAACGCTTTAACCACAAGGCTACCTCACATACGATTAACTCAATGTGGCTGTCATACGAGCTGCGTGGTAAGGATCAGTTGCCATTAAACACATACTTGACCGACAGTGTATCATGCCAAAGTCGGCTAGTGCTCATGCAATGATGTACCATGAATGCACAGTGCCACACAATGCCTGTTTAAAAACTGGCCATGTGGCATGGGTTGCTGAAGATCAATTCTAACCGGGTCGAATTCTTCACTGGTCGATAATGATATGAGTGTTAATTGCTTTGTTGAAGTATTAAGTAATGCTTGTATAGATAGGGCAAATACGGCTATCGTGGATAAAAATCGATTTGATCCTGACTGTTAATTTCTAAAATAAGAAATACACGTATGTAGATGTCTGCATATATTTTTTCAAATCTGAAGACCTGATTTCTTTAGAACACTACATAAAATCAAGAAATACCTATTATATAATGTGTAGAATAAAAAGACTATAACAGACAACGTGATGCATTTGAAAGCTCTGTTACAGATGCTAAATGCTTTCGGTAAACTCGGAGGTGCTTAAGTGGAATAAAGCGTGTTTGTTGTACTATAGACATACACACGTTGTGTAATACTTAAAAGGAACTTGTTGCATCCAATAAAAAAGAAGACTAAAAGCGGCCGACGAGCCACAGTATAATGAGGGTGGTATCGTGACAATCCTATCTCAGAGGAAGAACTCATCGATAGACATAGACTTATGGTATAATAATTGTAAGTCACTGTTTGCATTCATTAAAAAAACAAAACGAGAGAGTGGTATTTACATAATCCTATCTCAAGTCATTGATAGCATTGTAAGTTTAAAGAATAACGCAGGGTGGTACAATAAAAATCTGGTTGAGGCGTTTGCTCGCCACGCCGAAGTCCCGGGTTCGATTCCCAAGATGGGTTCAATGTGTGCAGCCCATTCCTTGTGTCCCCACGCCGTGATATATTGGTAAAAGCGTCGTAAAACTAATCTCGCTCACAAAAGTGATTGAGTTAAGATTTAGAGTCTCATCCGCAGTATTGCAGCCATATCGTGACTATAGCAATGTATACTGTATAATAAAGAAAAGTTAGTTTATTAAAATCTGTCAACAAAAGACAGTAAAACAACTAGGCTATCACAGATAGAAACGTAAAACTAGCATGTAAGCATAAAACATGTATTACAATACAGGACAATACAATATAAAAACCGGGCTAGAGATCACCAACAACTGAAGGTATCACCATACTAGGGACCATGGGGACTTACAGTACCTTTGCTACCTACATGGACCTATAGTTGGATTTACATCATTCCTTCAGATGTTGGTGATTTGTGCACAATTTAAGCATACATTACATTAAAAAATACATATATACTACGATTAAAATCACGGACAATGAAAATATCACCCACAAAAGAATAACGTGTCACCTGTCATTGACTGTACACGCAGCTGTATAAGGTGAATATTTAAAAAAAAATGTATTCATCTTTTTCAGGTACAAAATCATGACATCAAATCACAACGAAATATAAACCATGCATTTGTATGCAGAATTTGGCGGTATCTCACATTGACAAGCATATCATAACAAATGACATTGTAGGAAAAAGGGTCGGTTGTACGTTAATATCAATTAAAACAATTGATGTCAATCAGACCAGAATCCAACAAATTTGGTAAATTACAAGAAGAGATGGCATGCATTCTCTCGATATTGTAAAATTTACTTATTTCCTTTCTCATCATGTCAAAACTTGGTGTACAAGTATATGTTCGTATTTTAAAAAAACTAAATTTGACAAATGTTATCAGGAGATTAAGGACATCGTTCCTTTTTTCAGAGGATCCAAATATCATTTTTATCTTATCGATATTCAATGTGATATCTGTTATTGTTCTTATCCAACTTGAAAATTGATTCCATGTGTTTATAGATTTTGCACATTCGTAAAAGAGATAAGGAATGAATGGTAATATTGTTTAAATGCTCTTATTACTGAATATGTTAGGTTTCTTATATCTATATATGCACAGGTTAATGTTTAAACGTATTTGGTAGATCTATTAAATATGTTATGTGGCATTTACGAAAGACTGCTCTATCTGGTAATTGTGGGAAAATCCAGTTTGGAATATTTGGTCTTCACCAACCTATGCTTCTCGTAAAAGGCGACTAACGTGATCCGGTGGTCAGGCTCGCTGACTTGGTTGACATATGTCATGGTAATCCAAACGATGACCATGCTGATGATTCCTAGGGCTTCTGGTCCAGACTGGATTATTTACAGACTGCCGCCATATAGCTGGAATATTGCTGAGTGCGGCGTTAAACAAGAAAGCAACCAACCATTGTGGGCCGAATAGCGAATCCTGCCCCTGATATTGGCGTATGAACACAAAACCTCAAACAAGAACGACAACTCTATCCCTGTTCAATTCCAACATAGCAGCTCCTTTCGAAAGATTAAAAAAAATATTAAACAATAATAATAACGATAATGGTTTGGGAAAAACTTATTCTTATGCACTTGTTGATTGTTGTTGACCTTATATTTCCAAATGTATATTTCTATATAAGAATCGCACCTGGAATGTGTTTTACGAATAGACAATTAAGATAATTATTTAAAAAACAGAGACACAAACATGACATTAAAAATGTATCTTAAACTGAAGAATTTGTAGAGAGTCATATCATGATGATTATACGCTGTGTTTACCATTTGTCTGAACTTGCGTCTTACCTTGCCGCCAAATCACTGATGGAATTGTAATTAAACATGCTGAAAAAGATCTGAAGGACCCCAGAAAGTCCAGACTAAAATATGCCAAGTGAAGTGAAATGTAATCACGGTGTTTAAGATCAATTTTGATCAGTTAAATATAAATAAGTTGTTTTGAAACTCGGACAATTTATAATTTACATTACATAAACTGTCTGAAAGCGCTCATAAAATCCGAAAAGCAAGCTTGCTAAGTCGCCAGAGAAAACTCCCAGTTGAAAACATGAGAGGCGTTCTGTAAACAAACGAACGTGTGTGTATTTGAGTCTGTGGTTCTATCATTATTAAATACTTCAAATTGGGAAACACACTTTTGTTAATTGTAATATATTTATAATGTCACTATGACGATATATACTCTTTACGATTTAAACAATCACATCATGCCATGACCACTTTAAGTACTCGATATAATAAGTTCCTGAATCCTTTAACGCAATTTGATTGGTCTGTCGTATCATGGCATTCATCGATTAAGGACGGGTTTTCGTGGGGGTTACGGAAAGGGGGGAATAGTGACGAATGTCTGCAGTGTCCAATAGATGGATATCCTAGTTGACTGGTTTGAAACCCACATTATCCTGTGATGATTGTCCTCATCATGAATGTGTTTCTTGAAGTCGATGGTGCTTACGAATATAATATAGGAACCACCTTATTCACTTTCAGCACTTACTGATCCAGACCTGCAGATGGTGGGGTGGCCTAGTGGTTAAGGCGCCGCTCGTCACACCAAAGACCCGGGTTCGATTCCCGACGTGGGGTGTCCCCTGTCGGGATATTCATGAAATATTGCTAGAAGCGTGG